ATTTTTTATCATAGCTTGATAATGACTAGAGAAGCCTAGTCGAAACGTCGCTCAGTAAAAAGCAGTAATTGTATTCCATAGAATTGTGACCTGTATACTCTAGTTCAATTACTAAATGCCATTGAAACAGTTTATCAGACATTAGATGTTTGTAGAAGACTTACGAAACTTCTATCCTAGTTGATCGTTTGTAGAAGACTTAAGAAACTTCTTCCTAGTTGTTTGTAGAAGACTTTGAAAGCCTTGTATGTGATAGGAAGTAGGGTCGCATGTCTAACCCGTTGGCTTTGTAAATAATGGATATCATCAGCGCTTTCGTCAGATCTGGTTCCATTTCATAAGTAATCGTGTCTCCTGTGAGATTAACAACACGGTGTAAACAGTTAATTAAGATTTCTCGGTTTCGTCTAAATTCTTCATTATTAATTTGGTATTTTAATCAAAATAGATTGGCACTTCTCCTTCTCTCTCTCTTTATCTCTCTCTTAAAGTCCATTAGATTAATTTTGGTAATTATTTTAAATTACAGGCATTTAAATTGTCAAGAAAAACGGAGAAAATTACACAACGATATTCTATTAAGTGTTTCCCGTACTGTAATTTTTATTGAAGAGAAAATATTCCATTAGGCCAACAACATAAAATATCAGTGTTTACGGTTACCCTACCGACCCTTGTATATGAAACCAAAATCGGCGATCCCAAACATTTTTCTACATTTCCACTAATCTCGGCTCCCCAAAAAAGTTTACCGTTCGTTTCTCTCTGGGGAATCACGCCGGCCAATAATCAGTCTGAATTCGGTTCCTAAGCTCCTCCCCAGTGGCTCTTGATTGGCTGGATTGATTTGAAACTTCTCTCTGGGATCCGAGATAAATTGCATTTCCACGTCCTATAATTCGGTCTTGGCAAATATTTCTGAAGACAAATTCCAATACTTATATTTATGTATTTATGTAGAGAATATCCGCTCCTTATAGAAGAAACTTTATTGCATAAAAAACCTTACAAGGTTATGTGCATATACAAATAAAATAATAGAAATATACATGAAACAAACAAAGGATACATACATGGACATAATTATACAAAGATACACAACTTTACAAAGACATGAACGAGTTGTATACAAAAGCTCCCAAACATTTTAAATGTACTCCCCACCACCCTTATGGTACCCCTTTGGCAGGTTATCCCTGTCGCACGATCCCCTGATATATGTTTGGTCATGTGACCTGTTACTATGGTAAAGCGAGATTCCCCCGCGCTTTTTTGGTGGACATTGTAGCCCGGATTTTTGGATTGAATAAAATGTCGTATGTCAGATTGTTGTTGCCTGCTTTATAAGGTGAGATCCAAAACTCCCGGGCGTGTGTTTAGACACCAACACACATTTACAGCAGACCAAATTGGCATTACTTTCCCCGAACCCCAATCAGAAGCCCATGAATGAGTTTAATCATTGTCCATTATTAACTCTATCCCCTTCTCATGAAAAAAGATATCAGACTCACTGACCCTCTTCTTTAGTCAAGGAACAGTAAAAAATAATTGTATTTTTAGATTTACAGTCGCATTATTTAGACTTTCATATCGGTCCAATATTTCTTTAGCACCTAGTCTGGTCTCCTCTTTACGGTACCGTTGTGGTTGATTACTATTCGAGAAAAAAAAGACTCTATTATAATAAACGATAATAACTGCTATACACACTAATTCACTGAAATGAGTTTTACTGAAATTTTAACCAATTCATCTTAAGGATAGTTTTCATTTTTTGCCATCTTCAGAAAAGCCATAAACTGTCGGGTATGCATTAGTTTTCCATTTTCTAAAGTGAGATTTTGGTTTTTATTTTAGTTCTCGGGCGAATTTAGTAATGAGTTTAAAGGTAATAACATAACTTTGCATTATAAAACACACAAAAACATCATAACCCATCGAACTAAACTAAACACAAACTGGCAATTTGGTGTTTAATTACAACCAAAAACAACCAATCAAACGCCTATCTCTGTATTTAAACCGAAAGAGAGAGAGAGAGAGAGAGAGAGAGAGAGAGAGAGGTGGGGCTTAACGCCTACTGGATATAAACTAGGTCTTTTCGGGACTATTTATTTCAATAATTCGCTTTTGCACGTAGGGGTCTTTAGCATTTGCAGGAAAATGGAGGACCCGGAGACAACCCACGAGATTGGACAAGCGACCTTACTGATTGTCACGCCCAAGTGTGAAATCGAAACCACGCCACTTGACTCAACGACAGACCTTTTGATCTAAAACGCACGCGTTAAACCAGTCAGCCACCTGGCCCACCAATGTCAAAAAAACAACAAAACAAACGTCACAAGTAATATGAGAACAAAAGCGTAAATAGGATACGTAAATGTTAAAGGGACAATAACACTATTGCTGGCTTGCCAGCTCCAGAAAATAAATAGTCTTATTCTAAGTACTAGATGTTTAAGTGTCCTACCTGTTGTGTAAATTATCCATTACATCTTATTTTACTTGTCCAGAGGGTTCGAAAATATTTTTAAATCCAAGTCACATTTGAAAAGGTTTACGTTAGGCTTTTCAAATCATTTAGTTGAATTTTTCCAATTTTTTAAATTAGGTGTGTTAAGATGAAATTTGTATCATCAATTAATTGGAATATTGTAAAATAGTGCAATTTGTTGACCAGAATAAAGATTGGGACATATTATTCAGTTACAACAAGAGTGGTATTGAGCCTTTAACCTGTTATTCCCCGAAGATTTGAAAACCACTCCTTTAGGATGAAAAACATGGGATCACACCCCATTTAAAAAGTATTTGAAACTAAGATAAGTAATAACATATGTTTTAAGCAATTAAAACCGTGGTGTTGTATATAATTTATATCACAGATACAATTATTGTACCATTAAATCCATGTGTCACTAGCGCTTTATGGAGTAGTTTTGGCACGTCATGATTACGTTTATCTTTAAGGCAAAGCTAACACGTTTCTTTCAGAGAGAGAGAGAGAGAGAGAGAGTGGGGTGGAGAGAGAGAGAAATGGGGTTTAACGTCCACTCGACACAAACTAGGTCATTTCGGGATTAACATATGATTCAATTTTATTTCAATAATTCGCTTGCACGTAGGGGTCTTTAGCAGGGGAGGAAACTGGACCCGAAGAAACTCACGAGATTAGACAGGCGGCCCTACTCCTTGTCACGTACAACTGGGGAATCGAAACCACACCAATTGACTCAATGACAGACCTTATGATACAGCGCGCACGTGCTAACCATTCGGTCATCCACCCCCCCCCCCCCCTTGTGACACTTGACGAATGATGACGATGCATTGCTATAATAACAGATGACTTTCCTGCACTTCAGATTTTGTACGTGTTGAATATTCATTATTTAGAAAATCACAAAAGACATCAAAGATGGTGAAGTCATAAACACATGACGTGTTGAAAAATGTCGCAGTTGTAACTTTCAACAAAGACAGAAATAAAAAGAGCATGAAACTCGAGATCAGAAGAAATATTAAAAATTAGACACGTTTAGAAGGCTCGTGTGAGTTTTATTTACTTAAAAAAAGGACACCCGATGCATCCGGAAGATACATTGACACAAATATTGGTATCATAGTCTAAACGGGGTTGTTAAAGGTTGGATTGTTGATTTGTGCGGGAGCTATAAGGTGGCTCAAATACTAAACTTAGGCTGTCTGTCTACAATTAGCTTCGCTTGAGAACAGACACTAAGCTAATTGACCGACATTTTAATTCCTAAATCGACGATTTTAGTCGAAAACACAAAGTAAACTTCGAGAATTTTGTTAAGGATTTATTCTGCTTCCATTTAATACAATTGAAAAAGTTTATTTAGTTTTTGTGTGTATGACAGATGTGAAACGGATTAGAACCTAATTACAAAAAATTTCCGTTTCTTGAAATCTTCATTACGCATTCAATGATCTCTGTATTGAAATTATATTTGGAACGTGTTTAACCAGTTCTGTAACATATGTGATAATGACTGACACCAATTGTCCTTGAAAGTTCCCAATCAAAATCGTGTAGTACTGATTTTATTGCGTGTCAGTAAAGCTAAAACGTAACGTAGTACGTATTTAGTATGTTTTCATGTAAGATCCCAGTTTCTGTGTTTGTCAAAGTGCCCTCTGGTTACCCCAGATATACGTCAAAATGACGATATAGAGACCATGTATTTCTCACAAATTTTCAAGGAAAGAAATCCCACCGGACCCCCTCCCCCGCCAGCAAACATTTCTGGATCCGCCCCTGTAACGTCGCTGGACGTCATTTTTGCGATTTTCAAAATGACGAGAAATGTGTCCGGCCCTGAGTTCACAAAGCATTGTCTGCGATGTCACCCAAGGCGGAAGCGGACGTAAAGCCCTACGAACGAACGAACGAACGAACGAACGAACGGGACCTCAAGTTTAGCGAACCAACGTCTTACTCACTGTGCCACTGCGGCTCTCAGTAATAACAGGTCTTGTGAACTAAAAGCATAGAAAACAGAAGCTTCTGTCTGTCATGGACGTCGAAGATGGGGGTTTAACGTCCATTTGACACAAACTCGGTCAGTTCGGGACTAACATATGGCTCAATTTTATTTACATAATTCGCTTGCACGTAGGGGTCTTTAGCAATGGGAGGAAACCGGAGGCCCCGGAGAAAACCCACGAGGTTGGACAGCTAGGCGACCCTACTCCTTGCCACGTACAACCGGGGATTCGAAACCACGCCAGTCGACTCAATGACAGACTTTATGATACAGCGCGCGCAAGCTAACCATTCAGCCATCCAACCCCCCTCATAGAAAACAGAAGCTTCTGTCTTTCATGGACGTCGAAGATGGGGGTTTAACGTCCATTTGACACAAACTAGGTCATTTCGGGACTAACATATGGCTCAATTTTATTTCAATTATTCGCTTGTTCGTAGGAGTCTTTGGCTGCAGCAGTGGGAAAAAACGATATTGGCCAGACAACCCTACTTTTGGGGGAATCGAAACCACGCCACTTGACTCAATTGCAGACCTTGGGATCTAACGGGCACGCGTGAAACATTTCGACCACCCAGCTCCCCATTAGTCTAATAAAGGAAGATTGTGTTTCTTGGATATCGAAGATTGTAAAAGCCAGTTTTAATTCACATACCAGTTGGCGATATTGGTTGGTTTAGCGGCACGCGGAGAGGTCATGTGTATAACACAGGAACAGTTATAGCTTTAAACTGCTGTGAAAGAAGATTCAGTCAGTCTGTCAGTCGACTTGTTATTGTGTTTATCAAGTGGAATTTATGAATGACGCGTGATTATTATTTTAGTTCCAGTTACCTATGGTCAGTTAATGGTCAGTTAACAGGTATGTTGTCCATTATAATTTACTTTGTCTTGACTATAAATTATTAAAAGAATATTGTGTTTACAGGAATTTTGACCATGATCATTTAGTTTTGCGTGTGTACGATATGTTATTAAAAAGTGAACATTACATACAAACTTGTATATATAACCATACCATATTATTTTCATTTTATTTTATTTATTTGTGTATATGCTTGAAATCGACTTGTGAAATCTTGTTAAAACGTCGCAGTGAAATAAACCATAGTAATTGTTATCCATCAATAGTGTGTTATTTGATTACATATAAACTATTGCAGTACATTTATTGAGCCACGGCGGTTAAGTGGGTAAGATGCTGGCTCGCTAGTCTGGAGGTCGCGTGTTCGATCTATGCATTGGCCGATAAAATTCATCCGCATTTTCCAACTTGGTTCCCCCTTGTCAGTGATGCAGGACGGTGGGCCTGACAAGGACAGCTGTCTAGTCGTGCGGATGGGACGAAAAACCTAGGTCCCGTGTACACATTGGCGTGCACGTAAAAGATCCCTTGGCAGTTGGAATTTGATATAAAAGTAGGCCGTGGTGCCGCTGTCCGGGCAAAATTTCCCTCATAGCACACTGTATAGCGTATGCTCGTCTTCATTAGCCCAGATCGGAGCAGAACAGTAGGACGTTAAACCCCATTTCATTTTATTGTTGGCATGTTTTAAAAATTACCTCTACAGGACAAACCCCGTATTTATTAGCCCATTACTTGACTATAGAAACTATACTTTTATTAGACAATAGATTATATGACTTATACAGTTAACAATTACCACTACATGACAAACAGTTACCATTACATGGGTATAGAAAATATGTTTACCTTTTTGTGTATAAAAGCTATGTTTACTTTTAATGGAATATATTAATTGCATGTGTACAGCTAAAAGTTACCAATGCGGGAGTATAAAAACTATGTTTACTTTTATTGGAAAATATTATACAGTCGGAGCAGAACAGTAGGACGTTAATTTCATTTCTACATGGCAAAACGTTACCATTACTATAGAAACTATACTTTTGTTGGGATATAGAGAAACTATACTTTTATTAGAAAATATTAATTGTGTGGGTAATACAGGATAAAACGTTACCATTATACGAGTATAGAAACTATGTTACTTTTATTGGAATATATTAATTGTATGTGTAATACAGTTAAAAGTTACCAATGTGGGACAAAACTTTACCATTACATGAGTATAGAAACTATGTTACATTTATTTATTTATTTTTTTTTTTTATGTTACATTTATTGGAATATATAGAAACTATGCTTTTATTGGAAAATATAGCTTGTATATGGTATACAGTTAAAAGTTACCAATGCGGGACAAAACTATACCATTATATGAGTATAGAAACTATGTTACTTTTAATGGAATATATTAATTGTATGTGTTATACAGTTACCAGTGCAGGACATTGTGTATCGAAACTAGATTTACTATTTGAAAAGTACAGTTTACATGTTTCCAACTATTACAGGACAAAAAGGTATGATTACAGACGTATTTAAAATAGAGTTACTGTTTGAACAATAGTTTGAATGTTTTAAAAGTTATAATTACCAGTAATACAGGACAAAAAGAGAGAGAGAGAGAGAGAGAGAGAGAGAGAGAGAGAGAGAGAGAGAGACGGGGTTTAACGTCCACTTGGCCCAAACTAGGTCATTTCGGGACTAACATATGGTTTAATTTTATTTCAATAATTCGCTTGCGCGTAGGGGTCAGTAGCAGTGGGAGGAAACCGGAGGACCCGGAGAAAACCCACGAGGTTGGACAGGCGACCCTACTCCTTGTCACGTACAACCGGGGATTCGAAACCACGACAGTTGATTTATGACGTCAAACATTTGATTAACCAATCAGCGCTGATGTTTCTAGTGGGTTACCCACAGTTCCGTGCACCTCACGCCAATCACTCGTCGTAACAGACGGTTTCATTGGCTTACCCCTTACATCACCCAGAACGCGGGTTATATAACAACTCTTCCAGATCCCAGTGTAGTAAAGTCAAGTAAAACGAAATTTTGAACTATAAAATCGAAACGAAATATGATCTGTATTTTAATCAGATTGGGTATCTTATAACGTAATGTGTGTATGGGGAAGTATAACAAGCTGAATACGAGTTAAAGGGAGAGAGAGAGAGAGAGAAATGGGGTTTAACGTCCACTCGTTAGCACGCGCGCTGTATCATACGGAGTTTCGATTCCCCGGTTGTACGTGCCAAGGAGTAGGATCGCCTGTCCAACCTCGTGGGTTTTCGCCGGGTCCTCCGGTTTCCTCCAACTGCTAAAGACCCCCTACGCGCAAACGAATTATTGAAAAAAATTGAACCATATGTTAGTCCCAAAATGACCTAGTTTGTGTCAAGTGTACGTTAAACCTCCCCCCTCTCTCTCTCTCTCTCTCTCTCTCTCTCACACACACACACTCTCTCTCTCTCTCTCTCTCTCTCTCTCTCTCATTCTCATTAAGTAACAATTTACCAATAGATGAAACACTCTGTTATGTTATTAAATATGACTAACAGTAAAAAATAGAAAGATTTTGACTAAAATCACTACTCTCTTTACCGACCATTAGCCTAAATAATAATTGGAACATATAAACCACCGCTCTCCTTATTAGAAACCATTAGTCTAAATCACAAATGGAGTATCTTGTACCATAACCACCGTTATCCTTAACGATCATTAGCCTAAATAACAAATGAAGTATCTTGTAACGAAACCAGAGGCTATTAAATGTCAAACAGTTTATTCGAAGATTACAACTATATTTCCCGTGAAAGAAATATGCCATGTCCGAGGGGTATACGGTATACCGTATTCGATATACGGTATTCGGGCACGGCGGTTTACACGGCATATGCTATATGTGCGGTATACTGGCCTGGTCAGTTATTTTTCCCACCGATTTTGGTACCCATCAGGAATCAATCAGAACACAACTGGTCAAATTCGTGGCCACATCCCATGGCCGCATAGTGGCGTGAAGGTCATAGAGGACATAGTATAAATTGGTTGCCTCCTACTGCTAAAGCCCCTACGCGCAAACGAATTATTGAAATAAAATTGAACCATATGTTAGTCCCGAAATGACCTAGTTTGTGTGGAGTGGACGATAAACACCATTCCACCATCTCTCTCCCTCTCTCTCTCTCTCTCTCTCTCTCTTTCAATGGTAATTACTATAGTGATGGCATAAGATCATTTATCAGTTGAATGATGATATTCATCTTCGTTTTTTAAATGTCTTTATGATATCTTTTGTTTATTCAATGGTTATGTTGACTTGCTAACGACATCATTATTCACAGTATTAGAAGATAGTAGCTCAACATAAAATAGATAATATTGTTGAAGGATGGAAACTACCTGGGATAAAAAAAATGACCGATTTTATAGACATTATTATTTTTGGCTACGACTAAAAACCCTGCAGAAATGAAATGAAATGAAATTGGGTTTAATGTCCTACTGTTCTGCTCATATATGGGGTTAATGAAGACGGGCATACGCGATACAGTGCGCTATGAGGGGAATTTTGCCCGGGAAGCGGCACTGTGACATACTCTTATAATATCGAATTCCAATTGCCAAGGGAGCATTTACGTCCACGCCCATGCGTACACGGTACCTCGGTTTTTCGTCCCATCCGAACGACTAGACAGCTGTTCTTGTCAGGCCCACCGTTCTGCACCACTGACAAGGAGAAACCAAGTCGGAAAATGCCGATGAATTTTCTCGGCCAATGCATAGATCAAACACGCGACCTCCAGACTAGCGAGCCAGCATCTTACCCACTTAACCGCCGTGGCTCCCTAAAAACTCTGCAAGTAATACAAATAGCACGAATATGTTCATCATAAAAAAAACATTATAGTTATACATAAAACACAATTTGTTTTTTTCATACAAAAATACCTAATTAGCAAAATAGTACAACTAGCAGACTCTTCATTCGGAACCCCGCGTGCCAAAAACGAGGAGAATAATTTAGTTTTCACATTAAAGTTTTTGCATCCATGTGCCAGGCGAAAATACAAATAATCGCTGAGATTCCAGATGGTATGTGTTGCTAACGATCTAGGTGAGTCGGTTAGCCGGATGGCCGAACGGTTTAACGCGTGCGCGTTAGATTATAAATGAAATGAAATGGGGTTTAACGTCCTACTGTTTTGCTGGGCTAATGAAGACGGGCATGCGCCATACAGTGTGCTATAAGGGAAATTTTGCTCGGGCAGCGTCACTATCGCCTACTCTTATATAGAATCCCAACTGCCAAGGGATCTTTTACGTGCACGCCAATTTGTACATGGGACCTCGGTTTTTCGTCCCATCCGAAGGACTAGACAACTGTCCTTGCCAGGCCCTCCGTTCTGCATCACTGACAAGAGGGAAACCACGCCGGAAAATCTGGATGGACTTTCTCGGTCAATGCACTGATCGAACACCCGACCTCCAGGCTAGCGAGCCAGCATCTTACCCACTTAGCCACCGTGATCCCCCGCGTTAGATTATAAGGTCTGTTATTGTGCCAAGTGGCGTCTATTCGTTCGTTGTTCGTTTCTTAACATGCAAGGGGGCCAAACGATAGGTCCGGTTCGCATAGGTAGGAGACAGCAGGAGATGGATTCCATTTCCTTAATGGTAAAGACACGGTGCTTTTAGAGGGGGTGGTACCAGGGCAAGTTACATCCAAAGGAGTTGCTCCCGGTGCAAGTAATAGGGTATTGCAGAAGAGACCGTAGGAATGATTGGGCGTGCGCATCCTGGTCAGCGTTGTCATCAAGGATATGATCTCGCCGAGACTGGATCGGGCCCACCCAGTGGCGGCGCCAGCCGTTGGTGGTTGGAGGGGCAAAGCTGGGGCAACGTCCAAGGTTAAAGGGGCAAAGGGACGAGCTTCAACTAGGAGTAGGTGGGGCTCCCCCAGACAATTTTGAAAATTTGAAAAAAAAGTTGCCGGATGTGCAGCCTGGCAGTATTTCAGGCACTGATCGTTGAGGTAAAGTGCCCACCGCCTGCCTGAATTTGACCCTGTTGGTTAGGGGTCTAATGGTTTCGAATTCCCGCAAGATCCCGTGGGGCCACAAAATTACCCAGTATTTATGTTGTTGGAGGTGAGGTGACTAGCAGGATAGGAGGTTGAGGTGGGGGTGATTGTAGCATACCGCTGAAGGTTGAAGTGGGGTGACATTAGCATACCGCTGGAGGTGGAGAGGGATGGGGGGGGGGAGGTAACCGAAGCATATCGTTGGAGGTGGGGTGACTGTAGCACCCCGCTGGAGGTTGAAGTGGGGTGATTGTAGCATATCGTTGGCGGTGTTGTGACAGTAGCATACTAACATACCGCTGGATGTGGAGAGGGTTGAGGGATGGTAACCGGAGCATATCGTTGGAGGTGGGGTGACTGTAGCATACCGCTGGAGATTGAAGTGGGTGATTGTAGCATATCGTTGGAGGTGGGGTGACTGTAGCATACCGCTGGAGGTTGAGGGGGCGGGGGGGGGGGTTACTGTTGCATATCGTTGGAGGTGGGGGTAACCGTAGTATAACTTTAGAGGTGGGGTAACCATAGCATATCTGAGCCATGGTATATGTGTTTGCCAATGGTTGCGGTGGAGTGACTGTAGCATATCCGAACCATGTAATATGTTGCGCGTAGTTGTCTTTAGCAGTTGGAGAAAACTGGAGGATCCGGAGAAAACCCACGAGGTTGGACAGGTGTCCCTACTCCTTGTCACGTACAATTGGGGAATCGAAACCATGCCAGTTGACTCAATGACAGACCTTATGATACCACGCGCACGCCATCCCCCCACCCCCCACTCGTTGAGCAATATGAAAATCGCATTGAAACAGGTCAATGCATAACAGTTTGAGTTTTAACAACATTTGATAAACATTTATCCATGTAAATTGTTAAGAATGTTTAAGATAGGACCTAACAAGAAAAAGCTCTTAATGGACCAGTCCTCTTGAAACTTCCTTTTTTAAATTATCTGATGCTAACCAGACCGGTTGTTATCAGTTGGAATTCAGAGTTGACGGCTTCACTTAAATATTATCAAGTTTATAGTCAGCTACAGAATATAATGGTGTTTTATTTTTCCATACAGTCAGAGAATAAGTAATGATTTGTTATTATGTTGTAGTTGATCTTAGTGAAAGAGGAGGACATTGAGATGTTTGATGTTATTTTTAGAAACAAGGGTGTTATGTTTTATAGATAGTACTAGAAGAATGCCCGGCTTCGCTCGGAGGTCATAACCCCGAAACCGGAAGTGGTAGACTAACGCCACCTGGCCTATGTTACTCCCCGGTCCGAGCTACCCCTATACCCCAAATTTCAGACTCGGGGCAGACCTAGTGTAGCCGCCAACCCCGAACAGACAGACAAACAGACAAACAGACAGACAGACAAACAAACGACAGTCACAAATATTAGTAGATAACCGAGAGAGAGAGAGAGAGAGAGAGAGAGAGATGGTGTTAAACGTCCACTCAACACAAACTAGGTCATTTCGGGACTAACATATGGGTCAATTTAGTTTCAATAATAGGGGGGTTTAGCAGTGAGAGGACATCGGAGGACCGAGACAAAACACACGGGGTTGGACAGGCGACCCTACTCCTTGTGACGTACAACCGGCGTCACTACGACCACTCTTATATATCGAATTCCAACTGCCAAGGAGACTTTTACGTGCACGCCAATCTGTACCCCGGACCTCGTTTTTCGCCTTTTCCGAACGTCTATACGTTCGTATCTTTGTCATGTCCTCTGTCCTGCACCACTGTCAAGGAGGAACCACGTCGGAAAAAAACCCGATGAACTTTCTCTCCAACTCAGGGATCGAACACGCGACCTCCAGGCTAGCGAGCCAACGTCTTGCTCTCTGAACCAATGTAACTCCCTGTTGGATATATAGTGTGATGTTGTTTACAGATTATATTGTGACGTTTACACAGTTATCACTGGAATTTGTCCTCCTACGATTACGTATTTTAATCTTGATGTGACCTAGTTGATAACCAATGCGTACACCATGTGTCTGAGTTAAATCCTGGATTCAAACCGCGTGAAACGTGACAAGGAAAATTAGCTAATGCGCATAAGTATTAAATAACTGCATAAATAAAGTTAAATCTGTCAGAAATTTTTGGAATGACAAATTGCAACCCTATGACTGTTTCCGTGTTTTTTCTCACAGGCTGTCGGTTTCAGACAGTCACTAATTAAAGATGGCTGTGTTTGTATTTCAACGAAGCTCAAATGTAAAATTTGTACGAAATCCATAATACAGAGAGATGGGGTTTAACGTCCACTCGACACAAAATAGGTCATTTCGGGACTAACATATGGTTTAATTTTATTTCAATAATTCGCTTGCACGTAGGAGTCTTTAGCAATGGGAGGAAACCGGAGGACCCGAAGAAAACCCACGAGCTTGGATAGGCGATCCTACTCCTTGTCACGTACAACCAGGGAACTGAAACCACGCCAGATGACTCAATGACAGACCCTATGACACAAAGCGCACACGCTAACCATTCGGCCATCCAACCCCCTTCATAGATACAAGGTTACCTACCATGCGCACAGAGCACTCACTTGGATGGATGTGGCGCATTATCAAATGCAATATATTATTATTATTATTATTATGAAATCAAATTTAACGCTCTACCTTTCCGCATACAGAGTGCTATGGGGAACAATTAGCCCGGGCAGTGGCGCTACGACCTACTCGTATTTCGAATTCCGACTGTCGAGGGTTCTTTTACGTGCACACAAATGTGTACACGGGACCTCAGTCTTTCGTCCCACCCGAACAACAAGGTGACACCACGCTTGAAAATCCCGGTTAACTTTCTCAGTCAACAACGGGACTGAAAACACGGGTTATTGAGACAGCACCTAACTCAATGGGCCACCTTGACCCCCCCTCCCCCAACCCCCACCCCCGCGAATATTATTAAACTCAATATTCTCTTCTGACTACTCGCCCCTTGAATATATTTATTTAAACAATTTATAATTATAAGTTGGTCTACTTGAGATCTTTATATTATGGTTGTTTTAATAAGCAACACTTAAAGGAGTATATCCGGTGGCAACTACACTTGGCTCAGGTAACAGTAATCTAATTAAACCACAGATCCTGTTGTTGTTCTTAGCGTTTAACGTCCGCTTCCACCGAAGGTGATATCGCAGACAAGTTCATTTTAATGATCTTAGCGCACGCGCAGGGGTCTTTGCTGTGGGAGGAAACCGGAGTACCCGGAGTAAACCTAAGCCACATACGCTCACACCTGGGATCGAAACCACAGCCGCAAGCCAGAGGTGACCGGCCAACTAGAGGTACAGATCCTGTTTCATTTCGGTTTTTATACGCCCACATTGAAATGCGGTCGTATATTGTCGTCGCTAAAGTTATCATCCGATTGACTTCAGATTGATACACAGAGTTTAAGATCTTGAGACGAACAAGTATATTGATTTTCGATGAATTTTTATGACTTGAACAGTTAAATTCATGATATTAAAAGCTTTGCATACAAAACGTTAGCATGGGGCAGAACTTTATAAAAAACAAACAAATTCTGTTTTCTGATAATTACTTCGTGAGTTGTTGCTCTTAATCAGATTTTAGTGTATTATAAATGTTTCATTACCGAATAAAGTAAAAATATGCGACAACCCTTGTTGACTGCCCGGACGATTTAGCTGCTGTGGGCGTATGTTTCGTTGCCTGGCAACCTATCTTTATAGTTCAAAATATATTTATAGTTGTCCTCACCACATCAGGATCTTGAAGAGTCGTTAAGTAGCCCGCGCTCTGGTTGATGTTGGGAATTAGCTGGCCATTCAAATGGCCTGTTGTGTCGAGATCTTATCGTGTGGTGCGCGGATCTGTGGCTAGATATTTGCAGCGATATAAAACCAAACAAAAATTGTATCTCCGAAAAGTCGCTTGAAACACACCAACGCTGGCTGGTAAATCGAATGACTGACGTCATAGGGTTAAAAGAACCCCGCGTGACCACCCCCCACCCCTCTCTACAATCGGTCAGATCTTCATGTAGAGGAAGCTATCGAAAATATAAAAAACAACCGGAACGAAATATAGATCTGACAAACTTCTTCTCCATTCTACTTGAAATTATGCCAACACACCTTTCCTTATTGGGGGGAGGGGTGGATGGCTGAATGGTTAGCGCGTGCGCGCTGTATCATAAGGTCTGTCATTGTGTCAACTGCCGTGGTTTCGATTCCCCGGTTGTACGTGACAAGGAGTAGGATCACCTCTCCAACCTCGTCAGTTTTCTCCGGGTCCTCCGTTTTCCTCCCACTACTAAAGACCCCTACGCGCAAGCGAATTATCGAAATACAATTGAATCATATGTTAGTCTCGAAATGACCTGGTTTGTGTCGAGTGGACGTTAAACCCCATTTCTCTCTCTACCTCTCTTTCTATAAACATCCGGTACATAAGGGCGGAACCATCATCGGTGGGAAAGTCAACTTGAGAAATGACGTAGACGTAGATCATTAACCGTAAGAACCTAATTATTTAAAATTCAGTAAACACATGAAAAGTGTTCTGGCTACACCACCGCACTAACAGACAACTGTGCTCATCTGTCGCCATAGCATTAATTATATACACTACATACACCACGCGGCTGTTAAATAAAAACACATTTGATAGTGATAGATCCGCATGTCACTCTCACGGCTTTAAATTTTACTTATATTTTTAAATTTCTTTCCAGGGAACGACACAGTGTTGTCGAGCGATCAAGGATATTAGGAAACGAGTGATGATACGTAATGATGGAGGAGTTAATTATATTAGATATAAACTATATGGATTAAACATCAAACATCAAACACCGACTGACACTTTTGTTATTGTACCACTGACCAATACTGAAACATTTATTTGGAAAAAAGTGAAGCGTGTAATTATTAAATCAGACACCCAGAAAAGGGAGAATTTTGAATTAAATCCGGAGTTTAAAATAAATATCCCCAAGTTGTGTAGCTTCAACGATCTATAATAAAGACCACAGAGGAAGAAATGGTCAGATCTGGTGTTGATTCTTCTATTGTAGTAAATAATCTAAAGGAACCAAGGAAGTGTACAATATATGTAAACGTGTTAAGTTAGTGGAAAAACACGTCGAAACGATAGGAAACTTCAAAAATATACCTCAAAACAATTAAGCGTTGTATACGGAATTTTATGTTTCTGGAATATGTGATCTAGACTTTAGATGAATTAAGGGTTATATGAAGACTTATGACTGTACTTGTTGATGAGGTGGATTTCATAAACGATTAAACAAGCTACAAAACCAGATGCTGTACATGATAAAGATGTGAGGATACAAACTTAGTTATTATTATATCAAACGTTAAATAAACTTCGGGCACCTGCTAAAACTTTTAATATTAACCCAGTATACTCGTCAGGTTAACATTGTTATAACCAAAGTTATTATTAACTCAGAAAACTCAAGTAGACTTTGTTATAACCAGTGTTAATATTAACCCAGTAAACTTGTCAAGTAAACCAGTTCTTGTTATAACCAGAGTTAATATTAACCCAGAAAACTCGTCCAGTAAACCTTGTTATAACCAGAGTTAATATTAACTTAGAAAACTCATGTAGACCTTGTTATAAACCAGAGTTAATATTAATCTAGAAATTTCAAGTAAACCTTGTTATAACCAGAGTTAATATTAACCCAGAAAACGCAAGTAAACACTATCATAACCAGAGTTAATATTGGCCAGTTTTATTTGGAACTTGGAATATACAAATATTAACTACGTTTCCTTAGTAGTTAACGAAACTGTATTCTATAATAGGATTGTTCTTTGAAATATCGACTACATTTCTGTGAAATTGCCAAAGGATATGATTATTATGACAACATTGCTTTAGAGAGATCCGAGAATAATATTATTGGCATTATTAATTTTATATACATGTATAGTGTTCACGAATATCATTATTGGTTACTATTGTGGTGGATAATTGTTGCTATTGAATTTAAAATAACCAACAAGTGTCTTATGTCGTAGGACAGTGTCGAAAAAGCTTTTCCTGTTTTTCAAGAAACAAGAGCTGTATCGCAAGACCCTAAGAAGTGATTTACTTACATGTAGATGTAACTGAAATCTACGTGTATTTTATAAGTCATAGACCAACGTATTATTTCCAGGAAATCATCCAATAACATCGAACAGTGTCTAAAACGTAGATTTGAATCCAACTAAAAGTTAATATGAAGACGACTAACAATAAAACCACCACTACAAATAGCCTTTTTTCTTCATTGTGGTAAGTAAAAATGTCTAAAATAATATACTGTTCAGATACTTATATTTAAGGTAGTTAAAAGTCACCGGCATCTGTAAACCAGGTTCATATAGCGTTCAAACCTATTACAAGCTTAATAGTAAGTGCAGGGGGACAACGTATGCCGCCATTTTCCCCAGGAATACGAATTACTCACTCGGCAAATCCGTTACTTTACATACTGGAATCTTCCGAGGTTTGCCGAGTGACGAATTACTGTCCAAAACTAGCCGGAAGCGGCGATCTTAAGTAAACCCGTTTAAACGGCCAACATAAGTCAGGTTACACAAATGAAGCCTTCTCGGAGACATGTAGTGAGCTGAGAAAATTAAATTAGTTTATTTGCTCTAACTTTGCATTCAGACGACAAGGCTTAATTCTAGCTCACAATCAGACGTATATGCTTCTACGAGCAGTCTCCTGGGGACATTTTTGTAAACCCGTGCGTGCCAGCTATACCAAAACCTACCATCCATGCATGTCAAAAGACGTGCAGCAGGTTGTGCACTAGACTTAAGCTGGCTAAACGATCACCGGCGTTTTTAAACGATCCTAACTTGCGCATTTGAACGGAATATTAGTTTTAACTTCTTGTAATTGGTATGTATGTCGATATGCTTCTGGATCTTGTCTCTTTTCTCTTTTCTCATCAATTAACTTTAGTAACCAACTCGTCTGCATTGATCGCACAATTATGGAAGCCTATATGGGTCAGTACCACGATGGATTCCGCAATATTAAGTTGGTAATATGTCAACAAATTGTGATTGTTCTGATGATTGTATCTCTTAAAAGACAATTTTTGCCGAGTTAATTGAGTCAGCGCGCTATGTTATATGTCTCCCCCCCCCCCTACCTCAATTCCCCCAAAAGTATTCAAATCCACATATGACTCCATGATTTTAAAATGGCTAAGTTGAGCCAGTTTTAAGAATACCCTTCTCCAAATTAGGTATCGAGCTCGACTTTAAAAGTGATTTATTTGCACCGCCCATTCGTTTAGAGACAACCTTTATCTGGTGAGTTTAAACTTAATCGTATGGACACGAGTCACATGACTAATAGCTGTTATAACCTAACACATATAGCATGTAATATAATAATTAACTTGTTAAACTATCACACTTTTAATAACAGAAATAAGCTGCAATCCAGTGGTTCCAAACCTAGGGGAGATAACTCTTCACTACGCGAACCACTGACACACCATGGGCCAATACTCAGCTTACATTTATTTTGGAAAAAAAATTATATTGGAATGGAATTGGATTCAAGTTCTTGTCAACGTTTTGACAGGTGTTTTTTTTAGACTATTATTATGGTGTGTTTTTGTTTTGTTATTATCTGCTTTTACCATTTGTCTTGGAACTTGAACAGGAGTGGGGAGGGGGTGATGGCCCGTTGTATCATAATGTCTGTCATTGAGTCAACTGACGTGGTTTAGATTAACACCGGTTGTACGTGACGCGAAGTGGGGTCGCCTTTCCAACCTCGTGGGTTTTCTCCGGGTCCTACGGTTTCCTCCCACTGCTAAAGATCCCTAAATAAAATTGAACCATATATTAGTCCCGAAATGACCGAGTTTGTGTCGAGTGAAAGTTACCCCCCCCCCGCCCTCTTTCTCTGTCTCTCTCTCTTGGACAGGGAATCGAAAGTTGACTCAATGACCGACCTTATGATACAACGCACACGCGCTAACCATTAGGCCATCCAGCCCCCCCCTGTGCCCACTGCACAGTGTATTTAAACTCAAAACAAAGTAAAAGTTCAAAGTTTATTAGAATAATAACCGCTGAACTCTATCCCATATTTGAAACACAGTGAAATTCACAACAGTCAACCGATGTACATACTAAATCATATATGTATTAGAAAAACAGTTTACTGAATGGGTTTAGATATCCGCATCTAACCGCACATTAACAAATTCACGGAATTCACTGGTTTTCAAGTTGTTTGGGGTCACATCCTCAAACAAATACCGAATAAACCGTCCACACTTGGAAATGACAACACGCCATCATTATATTTTTACCGCGAACTCTCAAACCGAGGCTCGGATTAAGACCGCCAGTAAGATTTTCCGAAAACCAGTGAAACCGAAAGTAGACATCAAACTCTACCCTTATACATTTTACAAAATAACACTATTAAACATATACTAAAGGGATATGGTAGCTACACCAGCCCCTACATAAAAATGACAGTAAACATTTTTATGTACAAAAAAAACCAATTAGCTACCATTTTAATTCTTATGGCTAACTCAATAATAAATACAAATTACAGATTTCCAAACAGTTACTTTAACATACATGTACATCAATAACTAATTATCTAAGATAACAGGTTCGTCCAATTCAAGTAAACATACTTTATGAATTGGTCGAGTAAGAACCACATAACCATCTTTAATATTAGCATCCTTGTGATGCTTTGCACAAGTCGCAACGGTTGCTTTTGTTTTAAGCTTAACGGTGCGCACAAACCCATCCTTAGACACAAATACTTCCACAATTCGAGCCAAGGGCCACTGACCGCGTGGGTAATTATCATCCGCTAAAAGCACTAGATCCCCAATGCAAATGTTACGTTTGGCGTGATTCCACTTAGATCGTTCCAATAATGTAGGCAAATATTCCTTTACCCATCGGCGCCAAAAAACATCACTCAAATATTGGGCCTGTTTCCATTTACGTTTTAAATATAAGTCCTTCTTTTCGAATATACCAGGGGGTAAACTATTACTACATCTAAGATGCAACAAATGATTTGGTGTTAAAGGCCCGTCGTCTAAAACACTATCACTGTTTCTCGTTAACGGCCTACTATTCAAGATAAACACCACTTCAGCTACAACAGTTAATAAAACTTCATCCGAAACTAACTGTTCCTTTAATACAGATTTTAATATTTGGCGTACTGAACGAATCATTCGCTCCCACACACCACCCATGTGGCTGGCCGCAGGTGGATTAAAATTCCAAGTTATATTCCGCTGAACACAAAATCTAGAGAGTTTAGACTGATTAAAATCCTTAAGTGCCTCTTTAAGTTCCTTATCCGCGCTTGTGAAATTCGAACCATTATCGCTCCATATCTCCTCTGGTTGACCACGAACACTAACAAATCTCCGTAAGGCATTTATCATAGAATCCGTGTTTAGTGAATGTGCAATTTCTATATGCACAGACCTTGAAGTCATACAAGTAAAAAGGCAGCCGTACCTTTTCACAACACTTCGTCCCTGTTTCACTAACAAAGGTCCGAAATAATCAATTCCAACGCACGAAAACGGTGGTTTATCAGCAACAAGTCTTTGTTTCGGTAAATTGCCCATAAACTGAGTTTCGGTTGGCTTAGATCTCCTCTGACAGGTTACACATTTTGAAAGTATCCGTCTTACCGCTGATCGGCCTTTTATTATCCAAAACTTCTGTCTTAAAGTGGCAAGAACCGTTTCTTGTCCCATATGACCGACACTAACATGACACTCTCTAATTATTAAGTCCGTAACCGAGTGTTTGTATGGCAAAATTACTGGATGTTTCGCCAATCCATCAATTGAAGCATTCTCCAATCGACCTCCAACGCATAACAGTTCATTTTCCAGTTGAGGATTCAATTTAACCAACGAAGATCCAACTTCCTTTAATGACGATTCATTAGACTCAGATTCTAAACTTAAAGCTTTATACGTCTTTGGAAAATCTCCTTTCTGGACAAATTTAATTATTTGCGATTCGGCATAACTTATTTCTTGTACAGACAAATATTTTAATAACTGTCTTGGTTTACTCCCGTTTAATCGTTCCGACACTTTGTCTCTTAAAATAGTCTTTAGACGTATCAGATAAGCAACAGCTCTTTTTAATTTCCACCAAGATGAAAAATATTCAAACAGTTTATCAAACAAAGTTCTGTCCGGGACATTAACCGTAGCATACACTTGAGCTTCTTTACGTATTTCTGGATCAGTATCCATCATTTCAGGAATGTTCACTTTATCCGGCCAAAACAACTCATCACGATACAAAAAGTCAGGTCCCGTTAACCACCTATCGTTTTGAATAAACGATTTCATCTTTAACCCTTTAGACCCGTCGTCAGCGGGGTTAATGTTCCTGTCAATGTACCTAAATTGAGAGGGGTTTGAACCTAAATGAATAACGGTTAACCGGTTTGATTCAAAAGTGTGAAAACGTTTAGTTTTATTGTTAATACACTTAAGAACCGACATTGAGTCAGTCCAATACACAACTTTGTTAATTTCAAAGTCAATTTCACTCTTTATCAAGTGACACAATTTCACGGACACAACAGCAGCCGATAATTCCAACCGAGGAATTGATATCTCCTTCAATGGAGCTAACCGAGCCTTGCCCATTACAAAAGCACAATGGATGTTCATATCTCTATCTACACATCGTAAATAGGCTACTGACGAATACCCTACTCTCGAGGCATCCGAAAAAACATGTAACTGAATATCTACAATATCACTTGAGTCTTGTAATTTATAACACCGAGGAACTTTAATCTCCGATAAACGATTCAAATCATTTAACCATCTAATCCACTGATTTTTATCAATGTCTGGAATTGAATCATCCCATCCTAATTGTTTCCTGCTTAACATTTGCAGCAATAGTTTGGCTTTCATAAGAAAGGGCGCAACAAATCCGAGGGGGTCAAACAGTGAATATGCAACAGAAAGAATACCCCTACGAGTCATAGGCTTGTTTAATGCGCTATTAGAAAGTTTATCAGCATTTTCCCAAACAAAACAATCCGATTCGGTATTCCACTTGATACCTAAAGTACTTTGGGTTGGCAACTTTTCAATGTCAAGGTTAACAACGGATTTTGCTCTCTCCGCTTCCGGAATGGTGGCTAAGAACTGTCTATCATTGCTACACCATTTAGTTATGTGGAATCCACCTAAAGACAAAAGTTCGGTCACTTCGTGATACAGCTTGGTT